CTGACACAGAGCAGAATAGGGAATGTTACCCCAACATAGGGTCACTTGGCAGATATGGATTGACACCTGTCCTAAGGATCCCTGATACACACTGATACACACCTACTTGAATGGTATAGACATTTTTGGCAGCTCCTGGCCCGAACACCTGACCCACATAGGAGCCGTAATAGACCGGATTAGGGAGTCCGGACTGACCCTAAAGCCCAGTAAGTGCCATATAGGAACGTGTAAAAACCTCCCCAAGATAGTAGTATGGGCCCCAGGGTGTGAACAGGCCTTCCAACAGCTCAAGACGGCGCTCATTAAATCACCTGTACTTTCTTCTCCTGATCCAACTAAACACTTTCTCGTCCATACAGACGCTTCTATGCTTGGATTGGGAGCAGTACTGAGCCAAGTGGAGCAGATGGTGGCGAGCAACCCGGGGCTTATCTAAGCCGTAAACTTTTGCACAGTGAAGTATATTCACTGCCATTGAAAAGGAGTGCATAGCGGTGGTGTAGGCCCTCAAAAAGCTGCAACCTACTTGTATGACAACCGTTTACCTTACTCACAGATCACAACAAATTTGGGGCACTGCGCGTGCAATCTAATGTGCCACCAGATAGGAGTGGTGTGTTTAGTACTATTGTTATCAGTTTAATCACTGTTACGTCCCCTATCTGTTGATGTGGAGCAAGACGCAGCAGCTTGAAGAGGACTCAGCGAAAGGTTATGGAAGAGGATGGGTAGGAGGAGGGTAGAGGAGGTGGCAGCGTACTGGCAAGAGTACAAGCTGTAGGGCTGACACACCCGCTTTAAGGACACTGACTTCTATTCAATCTATAACAGTGAAAAAAGTTTTTTGTTTTTAAATGCAAGCTATTGTGACACCAGATATGATTGGTGGCACTGTATCCACTGTGAGCTAACACAACTTTAAGGACACTGACTGCTATTCAATCTATAACAGTGAAAAAAGTTTTTTGTTTTTAAATCCAAGCTATTGTGACACCAGATGTAATTGGTGGCACTGACTGGGAAATGGGCACAGTATGCACTGTGAGCCTGACACAGAAGCTGGCAGCAGTGGCAGACAACTGACTGCTATTCAATCTATAACAGTGAAAAAAGTTTTTTGTTTTTAAATCCAAGCTATTGTGACACCAGATATAAGTGGTGGCACTGACTGGGGAAATGGCCACAGTATGCACTGTGAGCCTGACACAGAAGCTGGCAGCAGTGGCAGACAACTAAGTGCATTTACATTACATAGAAAAAAAAATCAAAAAAAGCATACCCTAACCCTAACCTAGCTATGTTTTTCCCTATCTAATGAACAGCAGCTACACTTTCCCTCCTCTTACTAAAGCATGCAGCTTGAGAATGAATCTAAAATGGATGCCTTCCAGGAGGTGGGAGGGTCTGCTAGGGAGGGTGTGCTGCTAATTGGCTGGAATGTGTCTGCTGACTGTGAGGTACAGGGTCAAAGTTTACTCAATGATGACGAATAGGGGGCGGGTCGAACCGCCCATATGTTCGCCCGCCGTGGCGAACGCGAACATGCTATGTTCGCCGGGAACCGTTCGCCAGCGAACCGTTCGGTACATCACTACTAGGGACTAATGAAAGTTATTTAGAAAATTGGGCAGACTAGATGGGCCGAATGGTTCTTATCTGCCGTCACATTCTATGTTTCTATGTTTCTATGTAAGCATGCAGGAGACATACATCTGTATAGCATGACATAACAATAAACAATTTAAACCATAAACAATAAATGGGCACCACATTTGAAGTGACCATAGATCTTAATGTGAAGGTTGTAACTTAAACCTTCTTGGGTTGAGGGTAGGTGGACAGGTCCTACCGGTTCGGTCTCGGATCTATACTCCCCTTAAGCCATGGCTCATTGTTGCTAGTACTGCTGTGCAGTATGCCCACTTAGTGTTAGGGTCTATGGCATTTGAATGGGGACATGTCTCAATGTCCTTCCGGTTTCTGTTTTAGAACTTGTGACTTATGGTCATAGCGTGGTGTCCTTTAAGGACTGTGCATCTTGGTCATGCAATAGAGTATACGTGGGAACCTGTGTGGGGCTCCTGGTCCACAGGTCAGTCTGGTCCTTTCCTTGGTTGTAGTTTGGGATGAGTTATGAATTTGTTTTATTTTTTTTATTATATATAATTTTTTTTTTTTTTTTAAGAACGTGTGGTTCAAACTCTCGTCTAGTTTTGGATGGTCCGTCTGTGTGTGTGTGTGGGGCAGGTCACGATTCTGTCACACTTGTCCATTCCCTTATGAAGCATGGATGACTACTTGACTTGTTGGCCTGGCTGGACATTTTGAGGGCTCCCAGGGGGGGCGGTGGAGCGATCTCGCCCCGCTTCTTGTCCCCTCTAGGTGCATATTCCCTATTGTGTATTGCCCGCCAGGGCACTTTACGTTTGTGGGGTTGTGTGTTAATGTTTGCGTGCTAGGTCATGGTGTCCTTCCCTGTAACCAACGGGATATGTCCCCTTTCCTCTCCCCATCCTCCCATTCAGCCCCCTCAGTTCAAACCTTTGACCATGGACCCCGGCAAGTAAATGTCCCGTGTTATTCACTGCGCCATTCTCTGGGCATTCCGCCTCGTTTTAGCTGTCTTCCACTCCCCCTGAGATCTGATGCTGCGAGGTTGACCCGTGGTTGGGTTGTTCACCGTTATGCCCCATGCTTGAATAAGTTCAATGCCCTCTGTGTGGGATGTGACCACGTGTGTCTTGCCGTCCTTGTTGATGAGCAGCTTAACCGGGTATCCCCAGCGAAATTGGAGGTTGTGCTGGCGTAGAGTTTCTGTAATGTTTCTGTAGTTCCATCTTCTCCTCAGGGTCTCGGTGGACAGGTCCGTGTAGATGTGTATGTCTTTAAACTTCTCCATTGCCGCACTGCTGGTCCGGGTGAGCCCTCAGAATCTGTTGCGACACCCTTAAGGGTGATTTTGGAGTGTTTTCTGCAGCTCGTTCAATTCGCGACCATCCGGCTCGGGTTCTGGCCACGCCCCCGGAAATTAGGTAATTTAAGAGTTCATTAGTATATGTCCGTGACAAAAATAGTCAGCTTGGATACAGACAATGTGTTGGGTTTAACCCTTCAATCCCCTATTTGATCAATCTATTGATCACATCTATATACATAGGGTGAAGTCCATGAGGTATATTCAGGATTGCTAGTCAATCCTGCGGGACTTTAGTTAGTTCTTCACCACGGTTCCCTCAGGACGATACCCTATGACCTAGCACGGAGGAGAGTATCCAGCTGTTTGTCCTCGGCAGTAGTAATCAACCTTTGAATCCTATTCTTTAGGATACAGTTAACATAACAATTGTACAGAATCATAAGTAGCATTACAAATACAACTATCGCCAACGAATAAAAGAATGATCTAACAATTTGAGCACCTGTGGGTGACCAACCCGTGAATATATCATACCAGTGATGAGCCAAGTCATCCTGGATTTGTGAACTTACTTTTTCAATAGTTTGCCGTTGAGAACATGGGTGGCAACTAGTGTATGGGTAATGTCCTTTTCATGTGTTCTAAGATGTTTGAATATATCCCTTCTAGCTTTTATCAACGCAGTTAGATTTTCTATGGGTAGCTGATAATCATCGAGTGGCAATTTTGGAGGAATATACATCATGGTTCTGTCAATGGTAATAGTGAGCCATGTAAGATTTGATATGCATCCTGAAAAAGGAAGGTGATCATCTACAGAACTTATTCCGACTGGCACATTGGTAGCCAGACATACAAATCTAGGTGCTATTTCTAGCATAGAGAAATAGTCTTCTGGGTACACATTCCATACACATTTATTAACCTCAGAATGTAAAAGACATGGTTCATATATAGGAGATGAGAGTCTACTTTGTCTGTTTGTACATAATGTTCTAATGAATATGTCTTATTATCCTTGGGGAAGATATACTCTCCAGTGTAGGTTGGGGACCACCAGGTCAAACTGTCAGAAGTAATATTAAATATGGGCATTGGTAAAGTGAAAAACTTGCATGCCAATTTGGTCTCATTAGGTAAAGCGTGATATAAGGTAAATTGTGTTACACAAGAAAATTGAGACATTATTTACAATATTCTCTAGACAGACTACTTTCATCCATGTTTAGAAGTTTCCTACATTTATCAGTCTTAGGTATCATTAAGATATTCTCTAATTCCAATCTTTGTTGCTGCATCCATAAGTATTTTACAGCACAAATACTCCAATTGCTGCTTCCTGTAGTAAAATCAACAGCTGCAACAGTGAGGTTACCTAAATAGTTATACATTGAGCCTTCCAGTTGTAGACATGCAATCTGTGATTCAACAACAGTGGGTGCCCAGGTGGCAGTAGCATGGAATCCTGTTCCTAAATGTCTTCCTGCAGTACTTATTCTTTAATAATTCCATATCTATTCCATTAAAAACTCCCATAGCTGTTCCAGTTCCTCCAAGCAAGGTATCATACCATGCCCTTTTCTGTCTTTTTGTTACAGCTTTGCATAGGGAGACTATGGGTGTAGTAATATTTAGGTTAACATGTATAGCCTTGGAGATAACGGTGGTGTTAACACAGGTGGATGGAATAGGGATATGGGACTGATTGTTCGTATTTGTCGGCACAGAGACTGGACAATAATATAGGGAAGGGAAAACTAGATGCTTATTACTAATAATAGAATTGTTGGTGAGCAGTAGCATCTGACCTTCTTGCCAGGTTATGGTGCAATTGTCAGTGGATCCTTAAACTAATCATTACATGCATTATTAGCTGTCTTATTATTGGCCCTATACCAAGTTTGCCATATATCCCAAAAGGTAGTTTGCATCGAAGGTACATCTATAGCAAAAGCAGTGGCACAGAACCCAGTATTATTATGGATTTGAACAGAAAAAATTCCAGCAGCGGTTTTCTGAATCATGCACCATTGCGATTGTATATTACATAATTTTACATCCTGCTGCTGGGAATTTCTTGTTATATTATATTATAAACCTGACACTTTTGGTTAGCAGGGCAGGAAAAATTACCTTGAGTTTGATTCTTATCACTTTCGCTCCAACTCCATTCATGTCTATCACCACATCGAACTTTATGTTGGGGGGCATAAGGTATAGGGGGTAAAGACCTTTTTACCTTAGGATGAGGTGTATAAGGAGGTGTAGTGGTTCGTCTAAGCCTATAATGGGTAGTAGGGTGTAGTGACATAGACTGTACTGGGTTGTCAGTAGCAAACGTATTTTGTAAGTATCCTATGGGAGTAGGGGCATCTCCTGGGGAGGAATCACCAGGGGTAGTAAAAACTAGATCCTTCGTGGTTGTAGGAACGAGGTCACAGTAAAATATCCATGGTTCAGGACCTTTAGTACTAAAAATCAGGATAGTGCCATATAAGTAGAACAGTTTTGTTACGCTGGCTAGTGGGTGCATGGGAATTGTTGAGAACTGCACTGGGAACTTCGGCATGTACATTCTTATGGGCTTTTTTATGTGTATTATTACCAATCTTCCTTTTTAGTGATGTGAGATCTGTATCTATTGGGAACGTATGTTCCCATGACTGGGACAGATATGAATACAAAGATCTATCATTCGTATTACTAGTTATTTCCATGGCACAATTCCCTCCTGTGAACATCTCGAACTGTTGTGTATATGATTTTCTGGTATATGTGCAAAGATAACCTGGTGTATATATATTACCCAAATAGCCACAGCCTTCCCCTTACTGTTCAGTTCAATTTGATACTTGTGTGGATCTTCAGATGAGCATTCAGTATCTGAGGAATGGGGGTGTCTTATACTAGATGAAAAATGAAGGCCTAATTGGGCTCCGGAGGAAAGTGAAGAATTGTCCATTGTTTCTTTGGTCTCCTGAAGAGATCCATTATCTTTCCAAAAGCACACTGGTTTTCATAATAGCAATGCAGATAGATAGTAAAAGGCAATATAAAGATAAAGGGGATGACTGCCAAAATCATGATTTTGCTTTTTTTGAGGTGGCCACTTTGTCTTTTTCTCCTTATTTGAGCCATGGTATGTCACACAGAAGAACAGGTGGTTCAGGTACAACTGGTTCTGGATGCTCCAGTCGGGTCTTGGCTCCCCTCTTTGGACACGGTTTTACTCATGATGCATGAATTCACAGATCTTGGGAGTCGGTTAGGACTGCAGTGTAGGTCACAGCGATGACAGAGGTTGGGGGACCGAATGGGAAGCCTCCTTTTTTTTTGTTTAACTGTCGGATACACACTGAGTCTCCAGGTTGATAGGGATGGGTAGGTGTGCCTGTGAGGGTAAAGGAAACTGTGAAGAAACATTGCAATATATAACATTCAACTTTATCAACAATTCCTTAACATAATGTTCCTGGATTAGCTCTAAATCATCAGGCATAATGACTAATAGTTCCCTGGCCCACGGTGAAGGAAATGATCTCAAAAGGAGATAATTTTATAACCTTATGGGGGCTCATTCGTATCTCCGCTAAAATAGCTGGAAGATACCTTTGCCAATTAACCCATGTCCCTGTAGTTGCCTTCATGAGTTTCTCTTTGATAGTCCTATTCATCCTTTCAACTACCCCTGAGCTCTGAGGGTAATAGGGTATATTATTAATAGGGTATATTATTATTATTATGATATTTATAGAGTGACGTCAAATTCCGCAGCGCTTTACAATGGGTGGACGAACAGACATGTAGTTGTAACCAGACAAGTTGGACACACAGGAACAGAGGGGTTGAGGGCCCTGCTCAATGAGCTTACATGCTAGAGGGAGTGGGGTAAAATGACACAAAAAGGAAACTTCCATGTCACCTGTAGCCATTTAACAAGTTCTTGAGTGATCTTACTAGCAAAAGCTGGTGTGTTATCAGAATTAATCTGTAAGGGACAACCATACCTGGGTATTATTTCTGTAGCGAGTATTTTCACCACAGTTTTCGCATCTTCTTTATTGGTTACAAAAGCTTCAGGTCACCTACTAAACTGGTCCACTATTACCACAAGATATTGTTGTTTATGACCTGTTTTAGGTATATGGGTGAAGTCAACCTGTAGGTGTGTGAATGGTGCCATGGGTGGGGGCAAATGATCATGGGATGGTTTCCCAGGAATGTTAGAATTGGCCCTCACACATGGTTCACACAGTTATAAAAATTTGCGTACATGATCTTTTAAATTGAGGATGTAAAAAGAATCCATAAGGAATTGTATTGTGTTAGTTATACTCCTATGTCTGGGTCCGTGTGCTTGGCTAATAAATATGGGAGAACTTGCCTCAGGTATACCTATCTTCCCCTCTTTAGAGTAAAGATCAATTTGATCTTTCTCTAAACCTTGTGAAAGCCAAAAAGCAATATCTTGTTCGTTAGCAAAATCTTGTAAATGAGAGAATAACATCTCTGAGGAGCAACAGGATGGGTTAAGGAGAGTAGGGAAGACCATTTTGTAATATGTGGTGCTCTGAGCTGCTTCCTTTGCTGCCCCGTCAGCTAGTGCATTTCCTTTAGATACTTTGTCTTGTCCCTGTGTATGTGCTCTGCAATGAATGATAGCCACTTCTAAAGGGAGCTGGATAGCATCCAAAAGAGAAGTAATGAGGGAGGTATGAGAAATTGCTTTCCCATCAGCACCGACAAAAGTTCTCTGTTTCCAAATTACACCAAAATCATGTACAACTCCCTGTGCATATCTGGAATAAGTATAGATATTAACATGTTTGCCAGTAAACAACTGACAGGCACGAGTTAGAGCTACTAATACCGCAGCTTGGGCTGATTGGTGAGGGATAGTTGAGGATTCAAGGATAACATCAGGTAATTGAACTGCAGTATAACCTGTAAGATATTCTCCATCGCTAGGGCGGGAACAGGAATCATCAACAAAAACAGTGGAAACCTCAGATCCACTGAGTGTAGTGGAGGAGAGGTCAGGTCTGGGGGATGTTGTGATGTGGATTTGAGTGATACAATCATGTGGTTCTGTGGTAAGGGGAGAGTCCATGGAGCCAGAGGTGAGAATAGCATGTAAGATAGCCAGGGGGCCTGAGGTAAGAGGGCTAGAAACTATTGAGAGATTCTGGGTGTTGAGAAGAATAATCTCATTACCGCTAATGCACTCGGCTGTCATATATTGGGTAGTTAGGTTTTTTTATTAGCTGAGTGACCTGGTGGGTAGTGTGCAGGATGGTGGGATGACTTAGTGTGATGGTAGCAGCTCCCTCAACAGCCATGGCGCATGCTGCCCGTTCTCTGAGACACGCTGGCATCCCCTGTACCGGCACAGGAACTAGTTCGGAAAAGAATGCTATGGGACGCATACCACCTCCATGCTCTTGTGCATAGACAGTGGCCATGGTTTTACAATTGTCCCCTGAATACAAATGAAAAGGTTTACAATAATCTGGTAGTCCTAGTGCTGGGGCTTGGACAATAGCAACCTTGAGGGCAATGTAAGATGCAGTCAAATCTGGGGACCAACAGAAAGTATCCGGGCTATCGCCTTTGGCCGCGTGCCTAAAAATAGTCATGATAGGAGCACTCAGGAATCCACTGGCGGCAATAATTAATCATACCGAGAAAGGTGAGCAACTCCTTTCGTGTAACCGGCTTAGGGATTCTCTAAATGGCTTCAATGTGTTTAGGGCTTAATTGTCTGGTGCCTGCAGCCAGAACAAACCCCAAATAATCGACCCTTTCTTTGCAGAGCTGCATTTTGTGCTTTGCAACCTTATGACCCTGAGCAGCAAGATTTAGGAGCAAACTAAGTGAATCTGCAATGCCCACCTCCCAGCTAGGACTATACAACAGTAAGTCATCGACATACTGAAGGAGGACTGAACCATGGCCGGGGGTCCATGCTTTTAGAGTTTGTTGGAGCACCAGAGAATAAACAGCTGGTGAATCTACATAGCCTTGGGGCTTTCTGACCTTTGTGATAAGGTGAATGGGGTGGTCTGTGAGGGAGTTTATATTTCGAATGAATTGTTCAGAGAGGCAAATAATTTTTAACCCCATGGGGAGTGTGTGTTTCTGTGTGTATATAACCAAAATTAATATTTAGTTATGGGCCCCTTGGGTGGAGCATTTGGAGAGCAGGGTGGGCCAGTGCTCTACTCCGCAGTTTAGCGGTTTTCTTGGGAGACATAGATCCAGGCCATGGTTTTTGGACTGTCTCCAACCCACTGCTCAGTTGCAGGTAATCAGCTGCAGCAGTGGGAATAAACCCCTCCCTGCTAGGCAGGTAAGGGGAGAATGTTTGTTTGTTTTCTCTCTTAAAGCGCTGGAAGCAGCAGGCTGACTAAACATTGGAGTGCTAAGAGCTGACAAAGACACTAGGTTGGTGAAACCAATATTACTTTGTTATAGTTTAACCCCTGAGAGATGGGGAATCTGATGTTAGTGCTCAGACGAGCTAGGTTTTTGTTTATAGGGATGTGGCAAACCTAGCCACTTGGACAATATACAGAGACTATAGCTTTAAGGGTTGCCTGTATGGTTTTGGTGATGTGTATGTTCCTGGGTGTAATGTACTGTGATTGTATAACATTGTATTGCGTGCATTGGCTATCTGCTGAAAGCAGATAGCTGTATTTCATTTCGTTTCACGAACGACGCCTTTGCGGGCCGTTCGTGAACCGAATAAACCATCCTGTAACAGCCCACACTTTAAGAGACGCGTGGCGCTTGTTTTTAATTAGAGGCTCTCCTAGGTGGCCGTCGTTCGACTACCGACCACGCGGCGGTCGGCCATCTTGGATCCTTTGTTCCTCCAGCAGTGTTTGGTTGTCGAGCGCGTGGTACTAAAAACGGCTACTCGACGGCGCGAACACTGCTGAACTTCCAGGCCGTTTGGGAGTTCCAGGCCATTTGGTATTTTATTCCCCATATGCCAATCGGTCTTTTGAATGCATGTTTTGGTGAATATGTTTTTCGTGCGTCGTTCGGTTGTTTTAGCTGGGATCTGAGCGGTAATATCACGAATGATGCGCTCAGACCCCAGCTATCTACCAAATGTCCATTTGTGCAAATCAACCTAATATTCAAAAAGTTATGTGTTTTTTAATATAAATTGCCGGTTCTGCTGCACGGAGGGATAATCCACTTAACAGTACATTCCAGTGGGAGGATCCCTCTCGTGCAGCAGTGTCTGATGGGAGAAATGCTCTGTACTTTAAGTTTCCCACGTCGTCCACTCCTGTAATGCCCCTGGGATAGGACTCAGGAAACCCTTTGCATGGGGAATTGTATAAATTGTGGAGCCTGTGAATAAAGCCTCAGTTGACTCTCAGAACTGTGTTTCGTCCGGTTACTGGGAGATTTGGGATATTGCCTTACTTTTCAGCGCTTGACTGTGGATTACCTTCTGAACCAGCGGAGATCGTGGGATTTAATATTGCTGCTCCGCTACAAGGGATTTTGGTACATTATTGATTTTTTTATTTTTTTATTTTTTTTTTACTGCTGTCTCCTGTGTGGATTTACAAATAAAGTGCTTGGAATTAAGTTACTTTTAAAGACTGTGCATGTTTGTACCCGAAAGGACTGTGCTAACTGCAGACAAGGATCACACCTTGTTTACATGCCAAAGCTGTTGACATAGACTGTTTATCTTTCCATAGCCTAGACATTTCTGCTGTTATCTCTTCCCACATTTTATCTTGCCCCTCTTGCGTGGGCAATACATAGGGCTCCTCACCACTTATGGTAGTGCTAGAGTCCAATGTAGACACAGAGGTAACCTTAGCATCAATAATTAATTTTATATCTATCTGCCTCATGTTTTGCCCTTGACACATTCTTTTAAAATACATTAAACATGCAGCAGGATCAGAACATGGGTTGGGTGCACCTTGAATGATGTCCATTTAGAACAATAGGATTCAAGGGTTTCATTATTAGTTGGTCTCCTACTGTTAAAAATGGGAAGGCGGAGGGACCTATTGTCTCATCTGTGTTTCCAGTCTTTATAGAGGTAGTTTTAATTTGTTTACCACTTTTTCATATCATGCCTGGTGTGTTAGTGACAGTAATTTTAATAGGGGGAGCTTTAAGCAAAGAATGAGTACTACGGCTGGTTCCTGAGGTTTGCCCTGATGCCTGTTCTTCATCTCTCTCTTCAGAACTATCTTCTTCTTCTGCTGTTATATGATGCCTTATGCCAGTATTAATAGCTGCTAACATTTCCTCATCCTCTTCAGGGGCTATAGGCGGGTTTACGGGGGTGGCAAAGGTGTCTCTCGGGGAACAGTTTTTACTTATAAGCCTTTTATCCTTTATCTCATTGCTCTTATGTTGTACTGAATCAGAGTTACCTAAATCAAGGTTATCTGGGGCTTTTCCTGTAGAACTAGCTACTTTCTACTCCTTACCCCTAAACTTCCTGCCTTTATTGGTTGTACCAGTGGGGGGCCACTTGCAACCAGTTTTCTCCTCCCAATTTCATATAGTCCTTGTCCCAATCAGGGTCCGGACCATACCAAGGCCATGCCCTTTTCTCCCGTAAACATAATCCCTTAACCATATTCATGTGGAAGTCATTGTTTGCTCCACAATGGGTGAATGGTTTGGAGGATCTCATCGCCTCCGTCCATCCTGCTAAATTAGTGACAAATAAGAGTTAAAAATCCTCCCAAGGCTCCTACTCTGGTAACATAATTTAAACATGACTCCCCAGGGTGTGGTTGAGGGTAGGATACAGATTGTGAATTTCCCATATTCACACCGTGGCTCAGGGACAAGAAACATGTCACTTACCAAGACAGTTACTTGCCTATTACAAAACAAATATTTATTTTACAATTGTGACGAGAGCAATCTCGCCACATTGCATTGGAGAAGCCTGGTTGCTCGCCTGTTGCCTCTGGATTATGGCCCCATGTTAAAAGGCTTGATTTTCCCCTGCAAAGACATGAAAGTCGGGTCATTTGGTGCTTGCCCTGTTTGAGCGGTGATACCCCAGATAGCTATGCCATGGAGCCCATTTGTATAATGAAAGACTTTGGCTCCATGGCAATTGAACTGTATGTGTGTGCTCTGAGCGCCATTCAGTAATAATGTGCGCTCAGATCTGAGCTATCTGGGGATATGTTGAATGTACCTGTTTTGTGCAATGGCTGCACAGTTATATGTTTTTATGTGTTTTATTGTCTTTTGCTGCCATGTGTTCAATGGAGGTTTGCCTCTGTCTTTGGAGATAATTGGATTACTTCCCAATTATCTCCAGGATAGAAGACTCTGTGGAACTGGTTTTGGGCAGAAAAACCATGCTTCCTTTGGTCACAAAGGACTACGATCTATCTTTTGAACCACTGGACCAATTTGGATGATTTTTACAAATGTAAGTTTTATGTGAATGTGATGCATACTTTTCAAGTTATGAATAATGTGGAAAAATTGTATTTCTCTGCTTGTGATAATTGCATTTCCCATTGTGTAAGGTAATTGTATCACAGGCAGAGGGGAGGATTTTGTGTGGGAGTGTCTGTGTGTATTGTATGTGTTTATTGGTTGTGTTCCAAACCCTGTGAGTGGTACTAAGGTGTATATAAGGACAATAAACCCACAGCTCTGACTGTTCACTGCTTGACCCTCAACACGGAGCTTTGTCTCATTATTGGGGGCTTTATTGTATGCTGTTCCAGTTTGACTGCTAGGAGTGTAAACCTATTCGTATGGTTTTTCCTATTCGACTGTTTACAGCATTCATATGGTTTCCTGTTCGGCGGATTGGTGTTCTGCAGTAGCTGTATCTGTGTCTCTGGAAGGGAAGATCTACTAAATGGCAGTTTAACCCTTTTATGCCTGGGGGTGCCGTTACAACGGGTGCCGCTTTTTACAGAGAGCAAAAATCCAAAAGGTGGAGGAAGACCTGATAAACAACCTAGGTTTAAATAAATTTTCCCATATGGTCTACCGCAGACCTAGCCTACCGCAGGGATATATATGTGTGTGTGTGTGTGTGTATGTGTGTATGTATATATATATATATGTATGTATGTATGTATGTATATATGTATATATGTATATATGTATATATGTATATATGTATATATGTATATATGTATGTATGTGTATATGTATGTGTATATGTATGTGTATGTATATGTATGTATATGTATGTATATGTATGTATATGTATGTATGTGTATATATATTTGTGTTAGGTGCTTAAGATAGTACAGTGTGAAATACCATGAATAAGCGTAGGATGATAAAAGGAGCAAGTCGGTTGTGGTGTGCCGAAACCGACGATGAGGTAGGCCTGAGAAAGAAGAGGGCCCACCCAGGAAAAGAAATAGAAAGGAAAATAAATGTTAAAAGTGGTGTGGTGGGAGGGTCATTCAACGCTGACCTC